TATTTTAGTTTTTGCTATTTGTCTTCTATTGCTGATAACTGAAAGAACACTCTAGTCTAGAATAACAATGTTTAACAAGAAATAAAATACAAAGCAGTTAGTCAATAATATTTCATATTTGTTAATCATGCCACATTATTCCCAAAGTATCTCTGCAAGGAAAAATTTTACTTTCTCTTCTACATATAGACAAAGAACCACTAAGTAACAGCATGTTTGCCTGAATACCAAAAATGAAATTCTGTCCCTCCCAATTCCTTCCTGTCAGCCAAGGAGAGTTTAAATTAAAAGAAAAAAGAGGCCAGTCCTCATCTGTGCATATTTCCTTCCTATCAGCTCAGCCAAGCCCAGTGTGAAATGGGTTCCATTATCTCTGGTGCTAATGGAGGGCTAGTAAAAACAAACTACAGTTAGAGGCAAAAAAGAAAAACAAAATAGGAAAGACATCAGTTTGGTATATGCTAATCTACAGTAATGATTCACAATTTAAAACTCTCATCAAATGGAAGAATAAAATGATGGTTTGTTTTTGAGAGCAAAATTTGAAATGTAAGCTATTAAAGGTTAAAATACAGAAATATGCCAAGTTAAATAAGTTGCCTTAACGCCATGGAAGCAATTCTAAATCTCCCTCATTTATCCTTGTCTCACTTAAATGCAGAATCTACCTACACTCCAACAGGCACTCATGGTTCAAGGAGTACAGGCTAAAAGTCAGTTCTGCTATTTAGCACCACTCTGGTTTGGCCCTTGAACATCAGCTAGATTTATAGAAAATACCCACTAACACTTATGACCTTTAACAGTCTTCTGACTTGAATACCTGCTACAAGCCAAACTTACCTGGCCTACCTGAAATTCTGGTCCTGGTCTTCTCTGGTCAATTCTGCCCAATGCTGCCAAAATTCTGTACAAAAAACCAAGCTCTAGCATCCATTTAAAAGAAAGTATTGTTGGGGTGCCTGGGTGGCTCAGTCAGTTAAGCATCCGACTTAGGCTCATGTCATGATCTCGCTCATGGTTTGTGAGTTCAAGCCTCGCGTTGGGCTCTGTGCTGACAGCTCGGAGCCTGGAGCCTGCTTCAGATTGTGTCTCCCTCTCTCTCTGTCCCTCCCCCGTTCATGCTCTTGTCTCTCTCTCAAAAATAAATACAAATTAAAAGAAACTATTAAAAAAAAAAAGTATTGTTGGTGTTTTAATACAAAATAACTTACCTAAGGTATCCTTTAGGTTTTTTACAATAGATGCTTTCCGAGCACTGTTTTTCCTTTCCACATAGTTAGAAGGCACAAAACCCGTTTTATTCATGGAGTTTCGAACTCGCCACCAGGATTTAGAGTCATCCAGAAGCCATAATCTCTCATTCTTCTTAATGTCCAGCTCTTGTTCTTGTTGGGCCACATAATCAAATTTGGCTATTACCACCACTTCTTCTGCCATCTTTCAGCAGCTTCAGCACTGTAACCACATAGAGAACATTTTTTATGAGGTTTAATTAATTAGTAGTAGTATACATGCTTTTCAAATGAGATACATCAAAACCCTAAGAGCCCTGAAAGGATTAAAGGAAAAATACAAAAAAACACAAAAAAAACAGGCAATACTAATACTAACCAAAACAAAACTAGTGTAGCTATATTAATAACACACAAAAGGACTTTAAGGCAAACCATTACCAGTAATAAAGAAGTTCACTACAAAAACTAGTTCAATACATAATAGAAGATGTTATGAAATATATTTAACAGCTAAACTTATATGTACCTATTAACATAGTTCCAAAATAGATTGATAGAACCACAGGAAAAGTAGACAACTCCATTATCACAGAGGACAATTTTTAACATACTTATCTCAGTATAAATCAAGGAGCCAAAAAAAATTAGTAAGGCTAGGTAAGAACTGACATCAAGGGGTGGCTGGGTGGCCCAGTGGTTAAGCACCAGACTCTTGATTTCATCTCAGGTCACAATCTCACAGCTTGTGGGATGGAGCCCCGTGAGGGGATCCATGCTTGATAGCACAGGGCCTGCTTCCTATTCTCTCTCTCCCTCTGCCTCTTCCCTGCTTGTACATGTGCACTGTCTCTCTCTCTCTCAAAATAAATACACTTAAAAAAAAAAAAAGAACTGACAGCAAAACCATTAATCTGATCTAATAAACATACACATATATTACTTCCAAAGATACTACAAATGGAATAAACATACAAATTGATCAAATGTTAGGCAATAGAGAAAAGTCCCAGTAACTTTCAAGTACTTGGTATCCTACAACCATATTCTCTGACAACCATAACAAAAAGAGCTTTTTAAAAACCTCCTGTTTGGCGGGAACCCTCTTCCACTGTTGGTGGGAATGCAAATTGGTGCAG